CTTCACCCTTCCTTGAGTTTAACTCTTGCTCTATCTAGTATCTAATGAGACTGCCTCTCTCATTTCAATGACTTTGTCAGGACCCTTTGTTATGTGGGAGAAATACCAATTGTTCTCTTACTGTTTTCTGTTTGTTTTGTCAGTTTGTAGAAGAGTGCCACGTTTGTGCGGATGGTGGTCTGTAGCCTGGTCCTGGCGCTTATGTACAGAGTAGAGTGCTATGAAGGACAGTAATGAACCCCCAGAAGGTTCAAAGCTGAGGCTGGATCCAGGGAGCTCACTACAACCCTCAGGGTGTGAGAATATGAGGTCAAAAGAAAGAGAGACAAGGGCTTTGTATTCTGCTGAGAAGCTTGGGTAGGATCCCTGGGGGAAAACGTTGGCAGAGCCTGGACACATTCTGTGCAGGGTTCTGAAGCCGGGCTGACTCTGATTAGTTTGTCAACTTGGCAGAGCATAGAATTTCCTGGTAAGAGAGGCTCAGACTGTCTAGGTTCTGTGTCCTGTGAGCACATAGCAGTTGTCATGACTGTTAGTTGCTATTGGAAGGCACAGCCTGAGGGTGGTCAACCCCATCCCCAGGCCCTGGGCGCCGGGCTGTGTAACAGTAGTCGAGCACTAAACGTGCTTGCGTTCATTGCTCTCTGCTCTTGGCTGTGAACGTGATGTCCGTAGCTGCTTCACGTTCTTGCCACTTTGACTTTCCCACAGTGTCTTCCTGTACCTTGGAATTGTGAGCTGAGATATGCACTTTCTCCCTGGAGTTGTCAGGGTATTTTATTCCAACAACAGAAGTGAGGCTAGGACACCTCCCAGTCAAAGCTCTACCCGCTATCTTGTGTGAAGGAAGGAAGAGTGATTTCCCCATGAGATGGGCTTTGGGAGTATTACCCAACTATTGGACATTCAGCTTTGTATTACACCAAGCCCAAGTGATACTTCTTCAGTGTACAAAACGATGATTCCACAGCACCTTCCCATTGAGCGGATACCTAGGGAAGGATTGCTGAGTTCTTGAGTGGGTGAGGGTTGTAAACACCTGTGTTCTCAGATGGGGAACTCAGGCAATCATCTCCCACTGGGGTTCTCCTTAGGTGAAGTTCCAAATGAGTCAAATGATGCATGTTGAGGAAACCTGATTACCTTAAACAACACAGTTCAATAGGTATCCAGGCCCCTATCTTACACTCTGGCCAAAGGAGGAATAACCGTTGTGGATGCTCTGGATTGTATGAGACTAGTGCCCAAGTCAAGCTTGTCACCCGGTAACAGGGTGGCTTTGATGGAGTCACCTGGCCATCCTATGCCCAGGTCTTCTCATGTGTAAACCATGGTTCAGAGTAGCCCCCACCATTCCTCAGCGTCAAAGCTTTTCTTGACTCCCCGTTGCCCACCACACAAAGCACAAACTTCTTTCAGAAAAAATTAAGTGTTTACTTTACTGCTCTTAATTGTGGTTGTGTGTGTGTTAGCATTGTGAACATGTGAGATACCCATAGGAGCTGGTGCACGTGGTCCCTGGAGCTGGACTTACAGGCAGTTTTAAGCTGCCTGATATGGGTGCTAGAAAGAAAACTCAGGTCCTCTGTGAGAGCAGCAAGTGCTCTTAAGTGGTGAGCTTGTCTCCAGCCTCCTGATGCCCCCACTCCTTGTGTCAGGTCATAGGGCCCTCCATGCCTCATGGCAAAGGCTGCTCTGCTGGAGCCTTTCTGCCTGTCTCCATACTGATCACACAGCTGCCCTTGACTTTAATCTCCTCTCCACAGAGGTTTGCAAGGCAATGCCACTTCCTTTGTTTTGTTTTGTTTTGGCTTCTTTGACATAGAATTCCATGTGGCACAGGCTGGACTTGAACTCAATATGCAACCAAAGCTAGCCTTGAACTCCTGATTCTCCTGCCTCCTCCTCCCAAGTGCTGAGATCACAGGCGTCCAGTGTTACTTTCTCTGACAAACAAGGAGCCTGAGGAACTTGCCCGGTGTCTCATGCGGTGTGGTGGAGAGCCAGCCCCACACCTGCCTTACCTGACCCACAAATGTGCCAAACCAAGCTGGCTTCTGTTTCTACAGCATTCCATGCTATTTCACCCTCCAGGTTCTTGTCTACATACTGGTATTCCTGGGGCTTTTAGAAAATTCTGGGTGAGTGGATCTGGCAAAAGCAAGACAGAGGTGGATTTGAGTAAACTGAAAGCGGGGATGTGTGGGAGGGACTGTGTTTGGAGAGGGTTTGAGCAAAGCTGAGACTGCTCCCCAGTCCCCATTCCTGAGGGTGAGTCTATGGCTTTTACCTTGGGATCCTGAAAGCAATTTGTGGTTCCCATAATTCAGACAGGTTGAAAAGTGCTAATGGCAGGTCTGCATCTCATGGATGCAGATCCTTTGTCTGGAATGGTACTGTCGTCATGGTGACACATGATCACCATTTGTCATCCCGGGGAATATTTCTCTACCCTCCACCACCAAAAGAGTTCCCTTAGACAGTACGCAAAGAGCCATGGCAGGTGACATGACAATACCACTCACCACAAGCCACAAGTCTCCTTAATGGAGAAGAAAGTGGGGAGGGTTCTATTGACTGAAGCTGTTGTTTTTTTATTTTTTACTTTTTAGATTTTTATTGAGAACTTCATACTTCACATACACAGCCCCACCCCAGCCTCAGACTCCTGAATGCTGGCATTAGGGGGGTGTGTCACCATGCTTGACTAATAAAATATATTTTTAAAGATTTATTTTATGTGTATGCATGTATGCCTGAGCAGACATATGTGTTCCATGTTTGTTCTGGAACTCTTGGAACTCGAGTTATAGGTGATTGTGAGCCACAATGTGGGCACTGAGAACTGAACCCAGATCTCCTGCAAGAGCAGTGTAAGTGCTTTTAATCACTGAGCCATCTCTCCAGCCTATAAAAAATTTTGATTTAAGTTTTAAAGTGTGTGTAGTTACACAGGTGGGTATGTGCCATGAACCTCATATGGAGGTCAGAGGATAACTTTTCAGGAACCAGTCTCTCCTTTCACCTTGGTGGTTTTGTCTCGTTTGAAGCCGGATCTTTCTTGTTACTGGGTCACACTGTGCAGTGTACTGGCTCATAGGAGTGCTGGATTACAGGTACACATCACTGCACACAGCTTTCACATGGATTCTGAGAATTTAACCCAGGCTTGCTTGCAAGTACTTTATACACTGAGCTATCTCAAGTCCCAATATTTAGATTTAGGACTCCATGGCTCCAAAGTCTGCACTCCAAAAAGTAAAAAAAAAAAAAAAGAGAGAGAATACTTTATTAGGGAAAGATTATACATGTTTCCACAAATCATTGACGAAAGTATAACTTACAACAATTGCTAAATGCTGCTCATAAAAACAGGAAGCCCATCTTGGTGGGGGCGGTTAAGTAACCCTGGCACTGTGGGGCACAAGCATTTGTGGATTCCAGGGGCTCTCTGGCCAGCCAACCTAGCTGAAATCTGGACATCTATCTGTGAGAGACCCTGTCTTTAAAAATAGGGTGGAGAGAGGATTGAAGGGGACATCCTAATACCAACCTCCTTCCCTCGCGACCTCCCTCCCTCTCTCTGTCTCTGTCTCGCTCGCTCTCGCTCTGTCTCTCTCTCTTACACACACACACACACACACACTATGGAGGGCTGAACCAAAGCATCAGGGCCCGCCCCCAGTCTCTCCCTGTCAGTTTGATCTCTTCTGATTACTTCTTTCAAAGCCCTTTCTTTCTCATCACATGGTGCCAATTATGTATCCTGGCAAATCATGACAAAGACGACAATTTACAGAGAGAACACTTACTTGACAGTCCTGGAGTGATATTTTCTAGTGGCTGAGAGTGCCCCCTCCCAGAATGCCCCCCATCCGCCCCGAAATCCCTCACTTCTGCTTCTAAGGAGCAATTTGAACATTCAGTAGAATGACATCTTTCAGAGCCTCTGGAAGTCCTTTTAGCAAGAAGCTGGGCAAAAATCTACACCCTGGGTGGGGACAAAATACAGCTGCTTGAGTGTTGATCCTAGACAGGTTCTTTCAGGGTGCCCTCCAGAAGCTGCTTAGGGACACTGGGGAAGGGGTGCACTTCATTATTGGCTTGGAAGCATGGCGGGATGTATGAAAATCTACTAGTGAACCGGGACACACCCCCACAACTGCAGGGTTCTACCTAATTTGCAGGAAGTAGGCTGGAAATGTGGAAACCCAGGAGATAGCTGAACCTAGGTTGTCTCTCATGGACAGACAGGTCTTTTACTAAATAATGGTCTCTGTCTAAAGCATGCTAACCAGGTCACCTCCTCTGAGAGCAGGGAGCCTCCAGGCAAAAGCCACCTCCTCAACTGCCCCCGTGGTGTCTTGTCAAAGCAACCCCTATCAGGTCATTCTCTGTGTAACATCTGTGCCTTACTGATTGCAGGGCGCAGATGGGCTGATGTCATCTTCAGAGAGCCTGAGTGATCTTTGGGGTCGTCCAGTCTTCAAACTCTGAGCAGGAGCTGAAGAGCCCCCTTCACTCATCCCAGAAGCCATGGTCGCGCTGCCCGAGCCTAGAGAAGCCGGCAGTGCTGGATCTGCAGCTTAGTGACTCTGAAGGCCCTGGAGCACGCGGTGTCTTCGCCCTGGTTTTCAGTTTCCGACGCACCCATTTCCTCCGGTGGTCTCAGGACCTGGGCTGTGCAACCCTTGGTGAATATGTAAAAAATCCAGTCGTGGAGAAAAGCCTGCACTCACCTGGCCACAGGCCTCTCTGGATCGGGATGCGGATCCCCACGCCGCAGGGCTGCGGAGTTCGGCGAAACAAATCTGGATCTCCCGAGCCTTTTACCCGGGGATCCAACCGCGGCGTGTGTGTGTGTCCGGGGATCCGACCTAAACAGAGACTCTACAAAAACGAGATGGGTCAGAAATCAGCTTCAGGCGAGTCCGGAGTCTGCCTGTCTGAGACTGACAAGTGCAGGCAGGGCGGCCCGGGGGCGGCGTGGAGTGGGACAGTTGCGCCGTACACCACGCACTTCCTGTTCAACGCGCGCCGCCTTCCACCGCCCAGCGCTCCCAGAGCCTGAGTCCCTGCCAGGTTCGGTCCCTACTGTCCCCCGAGTCCTGGGGGACGATGCTCGGAGGCTGCCCAGGGCGGTTGTCCTGCCCAATTCTCCCCTAGGGGCTGGGGCGCGCCCTTCGGCCCGCAGAACCCAGCCAGCCGCCGCCACAGTTTATTTCTGCGGCCACGCGCCAGCCTCTCGGGCGCCTACCCGCGTGGTACCTGCGCCGTCCGCCCTCCCCGCCCCGTGGAAGTCTCCACGAGGTGTTTTCAGGGTGGAAGGACGGTCATAAAGAGCGCCCGGCTCCAGTGTAAGGGCAGCAGCCCTGGGAGGCAGCGAGGGGACCAAATCCCGGGGACGAGGCAGGGGCATGGGTAGGGGTGTCTGCCAGGAAGCGGGGACGCGGAGCGCGCTCCCAGGTGCGTTTAGCCTGGTGGAGGACTGGGCGTAGCCCCGGGATCTGGCCGGTGCGGGTCCTGGGGAGGAGGGTGGTGAGTCGTGATGTTTTGCTGAAAAAGGACGGTGTGGACTGCGCTCTGGGGAGGTGGGGTGGAGCTGTGCGAAGCCGCTAGGGACCTAGGAAAGGAGTAGTGGGTAGGGACATCGCGGGGGCCACGGTATGGGTGCACCCCCAAATGGCTCTCCCTCCGCACCAAAGTCCTCAGGGTTCATGTGAATCGCGGTTGGGGTCCTTTTGCAGTGGTTTCCTTGGTTTGGCTACAGAGACATTTTGGGCCTCTGAAATTTGAAGGTTAGAGGAGCCCTCATCTATACAAAGCTGTAGCTAACTTCAGCTCAAATCACCACTCTGCCACCTTGGTTGGACTTTGGCGACATTGATCTAAACAGCCAAAGCAGCAGCATGCAGAGTAGATTGTTCACAGTGCTGAGCATCAATCAGTCTGGCCTGCCCTAGAGAGTAGCCCAGGGACTCTTGTTTTCACCTCCATAGAGCGAGATCAGGTCACAGGAGGTATACCCCAGTCCTTACCTTTACCGCTCAGGGAACCCACACCTGGCTACACCCTTCGAGATGACCAGTCAAGCAAAGGTTTTTACACGTGCACGAGCTAAGCCGTGTGGGACAGCACATTCAGCCCCACTACCTCATGGCAGCATCGCTGATCCCTGTCACAGCACAGGCAGAGCTGGCTAGCCAGGGCTTCCCACTCATTTTCACCCTGAAGAGTAAGTAGTAGGCTTTTCCTACCGTATTTACCCCAAACCCTTCCTTTTAGGTGCTCCCTATCCCTCTTTAAGTCCAGCCCAGGACTACAATACTGAGTGGAGACTTGGGGCCCGGAGCTCTCCACGGTAAATGGGTACTTTGTACTTTGGGGAGCAGGGTGAAGTTGGGCATCTGGGCAAGTTATGAGTTCTGCAGTGACCCGAACAAGCAGGAATACCGGTTTTATTTGAGAAAACACTCCTATTTACATTGCCCATGTAAGGCATTTTAAAACTATTTTAAATAGAAAGCTAAAAATTACTGCTTACATCTGTTTAACAGTTAACATAGCTTGTCTTGTGTGTCTCAGAAAATGGTGCCAATTTTCCCACCTTGTAGGGAGGCTGAAATACGATAATAAATGGGAAAGCTCTTCACAATGTAAAGTGCTGTATAAGAACATGGTTATTACATGCATGACAGAGTGAAGAAAGAGCTCCCAGCAATCAGGAGGCTGAGGCATGAGGACTGTTGTAAACCTAAGCCTAGCCTGGGCTACATAGCAAATAGTCTCAATAAAATAAATAATAAAAGTTGGCAGGGCAAGAAAAGAGTTGGGGAGTAAGTAGTTCCTGCCCACTGAGCAAGTCACATTGAATTGAGGCCAAGTGGAGAGGCTGATCCCCCACTCACGTGTGCTTGTCATGGAAGTGGAGTGCTGTGTAGCAGTGTAGGGCAAAACCCAGCACCAGCTGAGGGACTGCTAGGCCCAGTGCTGACAAGCAGCATCAAAGCTGGGACATTCTAGCATATTCTTGGCATGACCCAACCCTTAGTGAAAGCAGAGTTCACTCCATTGCCACACAAGTGTTCACCAAATGTGACCTATGCCTGGTGTCTTAGGGTTAGGTTCAGGTCGGAGGGAGAGAGTTCTGTGTCTTAAGAGTGCTTTGTATTTGCTGGTGGGACCAGATGCCAAAGCTGGGAGGAATCTTTCAGCCGGGAAAGAAAGACACACACCCAAAGCTGTCCACAAGGCTATGGGGGACTTAGGGCAAGCTTGAGAGTAAGGGGCAGGGTCTTTGTTGCAGTTCTGCCTTTGTGAGCAATTCCTGAGTCTTGGCAGGCCTGGAATTCATTAAGAGGACCAGGTTGGCTTTGAATATACAGAGATCTCTCTGCCTCCTATTCCATAGTACTGGGATGAGGTACTCAACACTATGCCTGGCAGAGCGTGGCCTTTGAGCCAGGGTTGTCTGAGGAGACCCAGGATACGCAGTTAAAAAGGGATCTGCATAACAACAGACCAGTTTTAGTGCAAGTATATTCCAAACATGGCATGGACAAGCTTAAGGTAAAAGAAAAAAACTGCATGTTGTTTGAAATCCATTTTCAATTGCGTCTCTCCTGCTTACTCTCTGCTGAGCTTCCTCCAGGGTCCTACTTGATTTGGTCTCTGGACTATTCCCTTCCTTACATAGGACACTGCATTCCACTGGGTCTGGAAGGTCATCTCCTTCTGCATCTGATGTGATCTGATGTGGTTGTCACTCTCCCCTCACCACAAGGTGAGGAGTTGACCTGTCATCATATGTTCTGGGCATAACTGTTAAGCATGTATCTGAAGTCCCTAGTTCACAGCCTCTCCTGGCACAAGAATTAATGGGTCACCATTAGTGGGCACTCAAAGGACAGACTTGCACCACGTAGGCAATCATTGGGTAGACGGGTCTGATGTGCACAGACTATTTCAGAGAACCCAGCAGGATGCTGCTGTTTCCCCCAAGGAATCCACTTATTATCATATCCTCATGGCCTGTCTGGCTTCCTGAAACTTCTTTCTTACTCCTTTGCTAATGCTGTTTAACTTAAAAGTATTCACTAAGTCCTAAACTCTTGTCTGGGAGCTTTTTTTCAGAGGGCCCAAACTGAGAAGCCATTAAAATGTGAGGAACAAAAAAATCATGAAAAGTAGTCAGTCACACCAGCAAGTTAAAGTACGTTGGCAGACTTAAGGGATCAGAGTCTGAGAGCACTTCAGTGGGCGAAGGTAGTTGGGGGTTGCTCCCAGGAAGATGGGAAGAAGGGCCTGAGTGAGACAGGACCCTGTATGACAAAAGCTCCAAGAGACGTTAGGGTCTTCACCTACTAGGCATTAGTGACAGAATGCACATGCTCCCAACCCTCATGGGAGAGGAGCTCCTGAAGTCCTTCTCTGTCATTGGAGACAGACTAAAAATAGAATCAAGAGTATCTGGCCAGTCAGAAGGTTATGGTGTCACAACTGGGCTTGAGTGAGCTCAAGATACTGCCACATGCTGTGTGGCTAGCTTCTCACCCTACCTGAGGCCACAGGGCCCTCGGTGCTGGTGATGGCCTGTGACCACACTGCCTGCAGAGCATAGTGACAGGAATAGTGTTCTGACCCTGGGGTTGGAGGATCAAGTGACAATATTTTCTCTGTCCCTCTCACCACTGAAACACCCTCAACTAGAGTGTGAGGAAGACATCTAGCGTTGATGGTTTGTACATGCTCTTTCATGGCTGTAGTTTAGGGCAGGGCTTATCAAAGTGTGGTCTTGAACCAGCTTAAGTATAACAGCACTGTCTAGTAACACTTTTAAAAATATCAAATCCTAGGTTTCAGTCTAAACCTACTGAATTGGAATTTCTGAGACAAGACCCATGATTTTGTTATTCATTAAATTCTCCATGGGATTCTTACACCTCCTGATTTAAAACAGTTGGATTCTAGCCTCAACTTGTTCTGTTCTCATTTCTTTGGTTCTGTGTGTCATCTACTGACCATCCATCGCTGTACTTGTTGGTTGAGTGTTAACTTGACACAAGGTCAAAGCATCAGAGAAGAAGGATCCTCCATGAGATCCAGGCATGAGGCATTTTCTTAATGTGTGATCAATGGGGAAGGGCCCACCCAATTGTGGGTAGTGCCATCCCTGGGCTGGTGGTCCTGGGTTCTAAAGAAAGTAGGCTGACCAAGCCATGTGGAGCAAACCAGTAAGCAGCATTCCTCCATTGCCTCTGCATCAGCTCTTAATGCCAGGTCCCAATCCTGTCTGAGTTCCTGTCCTGACTTCCTTTGATGTTGAACAGTGATTTAGAACTATAAATCAGACCTTTTCCTTCCCACCTTGCTCTTGGTCATTGTGTTTTATCACAGCAGTAGAAACCCTAACTAAGGCCATTGCCTACCTATGATCGGTCTAATTCATCCGATATCCATGTAACTTTTGTCCGTCTATCCTTCATCTGCTCATCCATCCATCCAACCATCATTCTGTGTATTCATACATTATCTATTCATATATCCATCATCTATCTAATCTGTCCAAATATTCTCGTATCATCTTCATCCACTCATTATCTATCTATCTATCTGTCCCTGTCTGTTTATATTCAAGTATCCATGTATCATCTATATACCTATCTGTCATCTCCATCCATCGATCATGTGTCCATCTATCTCTGTCTATCTTTATGTCATCTGCATATCCTTCGTAAATCATCTGCACTATCCCATCCCTCATTGAGAACCTCCCTTTACTACTAATTGACAATGACAGGAACTTTCTGGCTTCAAAATAAATATTAGCCAGCAGCAGTAGCCAGTGTGAGTCAGCGTCTTAGGCCATGCTTCAGTGGCTCGGTGCATCTTTGAGTGTCTGTGAGCATAAACTCTTAGAGGATTCAGATGTCAGAAGATCACCAGCTCTGTGCAGGGCACCAGAACTCACTAGCGAAGCCTGAATGCTGTGTGTCAGTGTCTTCATGTGAGAGGTCTGTCTACTGAGTGGGCTTCTTGGATGTGGGTACAGCATGCCAACTGAATGTCAGCTGGACACAGCCGATACATTTGGGAACTGAAGTCAAGTAGTGCATATATACCAAAATTCATATTATTTAAGCAGCATATAATAGAATTATATGTGCATTAATTATTTAATGACATTAGTTAGATTTAGAGATTTAGTTACCGATTTGTTCACTGTACTCAAGTTCCTTACACTGCGACCTGTCTGGAGGCAGAGTCTATGACTCTATGTCCTGAGTCGTATTGTGACTAATAGACTGGAGAAAGCATTGGATTTGAGGCCACCTGAACTGCCTGCTAGACACACAAACACACTGTCTTCCATTAGCTGGCATTTGTGGAGTTGGCTGGGCACGTGAACAGGGCTGCTATGACCCTCGCCCTGGTTGAGTTACCAGCTGACCCCAGAGATCAGCACAGACTGTGAGGTTATTCCAGCAGCTGTAGAGAGCCACAAGAGGTAGAATCAAAGCCTGCTACTTTAAGTCTCCACTTGTCCATAGTTAAAAGCAGAAAGCTGTGATGGGGGAAGTCCTGTGTATATGTCAATAAAGCACTGTTGGCCAATAGGGAACCAAGATAGATGGGACTAGGAGTCCAGGAGGACTCTGGGAAGGAGAAACACAGGAAGTCGAGATGTAACGCCATGGGATAGGAAGCCTGGAAACCTCTCCCGTAAGAGAAATACTTAGATTAGCAATTATGGGATAAATACTTAAATCAGAGCTAGCCAGTAAGAAACAAGCAAGGCCAACAGCTTCATAATTAATATTGCCTCCTGTGTGTTCATTTGGGACTGATGCGGCTCTGGAACCAGGCTAGCGGGAAGGCTTCCCTTTACAAAGCTGTGGCAGTGTCCATTGGGTGGCAGGTACCTACAGTCACCCTTGTAGGAAAGTGGGGGCCATGGCCATCGTAGTTCTGTGATGTCCCCAGGCCTTGCTCTGTGCCTGCTGCATAATAGGTTGCACATAAATGAAGCAAGGTGCCCAGTTACCAGACAGACAAGCAAGCCAGGATCTTCCTAGCTTAGTGTTTGTGCAATGTTCAGTGATCCTAAGTATAAAATGAGTAGACTGTATGCCCAGAGCAGGACTTAGGAAGGTAGGGCAGGGTGCAAGCTGGGAGGAGGCAGAGTTAGGCCTCGCTCCCCTGATGCTTTTCTGCCCCCGGCCCCAGGATGTGAGTCTCAGAGGGTACATGGCAGGGTCAAGCAGACATGTACCCTCTAGAAAATGAGAGCAGCGTGGGCCTGAGAGCTTCCCCACAGCTTTGGAGGCTGTCTTGGAACTTGTTCTGTAAGCCAGGCTGGTCTCGAACTCACAGAGGTCTACCTGCCTCTGACTCCCGAGTGCTGGGATTAAAGGCGTACACCATCACTGCCTGGCTTCCAATCATTTTTTAATAAACAAAAATGAAGTGTTAAGGATGCCAATTTTTGTAGGCTTAAGGGTGTCCAGGTGGTCCCACTGGTGTGCAGGCTTTTCCAAGGTCAGATGCAGGGCACAGGAAGAGCAGGGATGAAGAGATGCAACTGCCTCACACCTGACTCAGCGGCAAGCTGCCAACCCCTCCCCGGTCTCTTTCAGACCTCTGTGGTGGTCAGTGCTAACTGTCAGCTTGACCGGATCTTCATCGGGTTAATTGAAGACCCATCTTAACTGTGGGCCGACCATTCCCGGGGGTGAGCTGAGCACAAGCTTGCGTTTTATGACTCTCCATCCCTGGTTATGAATGTGTGTGACCAGCTGCTGCAAGCTCCTGCTGCCTCAGCTTCCCTGATGGGCTGTACCCAAACTATGAACCAGAAAAAACCCATTCTCGATGAAGTTGCTTTTGTCTGGGCATTTAATCCCAGCAACAGGAAAAGAAACTGCTATAACCCAACTCCTGTTCACCTCCACCACTTTCATTAAGCTTCATCTGTTGCTCCAGCATCACCCTGCTCAAGTGTGCTCATCTTTCCAGGAGACACGCTTCCTTGGACCTCTTCCAAGAAGCTGCGTGTTTCATGTCAAGTGTAAAGGTCCTGTCCATCAGCCACTGCCCAGATCATCCCGATAGGCCACTTACTCTTTCAGCCTGCCTGCCTGGACTCCTTATGTTTTTATCCCTTTGGCCTGGGCCTTTGTCTTTCTTCTGGCTTGCTGAGGGGAAGGGGTGGCTGTTGTTGGACATCCTGCTTGACATTCTGAAAAGGAATGGAGATATGGGTGAGCATCCCCTGTGCTGTCGGAGTTGTTAGGGCTGGCGACTGAGTGTGGCTTCCTTCACCTAGACTCAAACCTTCTTCATCATGCCAGCCAAGTAGAAAGCAACAGTGAAGTACAGGAAAGCATTCATTCAGTATGACCACACTATAGAGAGTGAGAGGCCCCGCCACCTCCCTGCCCCTTCTTTCCCATTTTATGAGTCTTGGCATGAGATTCAAGATTTAAGTAGAGGGCAAGGGGTTTGCATAAGTCCGTGGCCTGGTTAAGGTGTGGTCCACCCATCATTAGCCCATCATTGTCTCTTGGCTCCAGTGTGTTTTGCAAGGTGTTCTCACAGCTTGTCAGAATGATGTGAAATTTCTTAACTGGCAATAAGGCTGGCACAAAGCTTTATAGCCCTTTCCTCAGGAAGCTGAGAATCCTGAAGAAATACTAATTTCTCAGTTCCATTGTTTCGTTAGGCTGGTAGCCAAAGGGAGGAACTCAGTACCTCTTTAGCATAGTTATTCCTACCAGAGTCTTTGCAACTGTGTCTCCCTGCTGGTTCTTAGGAACTTTTAGAGAGGGCGGTGGATCCCTCTTAGAGCATGCACAGCTGCCCCAACCTTGACTTTGTGCTCTCTTCCTCCCAGGACCTGAGCTCCTTTGCCATGCCACTCCTGAATGGAGATGTGGAGAGTTCGGGAAAGCACTCTTCTTGGAAGGTAAGACTCCCCTTTCCAAAGATGCTCCCCACCCCACCTGAGCTGCCCCACAGCAGGCAGAGTCTGAGACATCCTTTCAAGTTTACCTTATGGGGCTCACACCAGCATATGGGTTGGTGTGGCTGAGCCATCCTGAGACAGCTCGCCTCACAGGGCCATGCCTGCTGTGTTGCTGGCTGCTCTGATCCCTGAGTCCTCTGGGCTCCACTCCTTCCTCCTGCCCTCGCTGTGGGCTGACTGCCATCACCAGTGTCTCCAGAGTAAGTGGGTGTGAAGGAGGGGGATGGGCAGTGAGCTGAGCTGGGCTAGCAAAGATGAGGCTAAAAGCAGTAAAGTTGATACATGTGTTCTTTGGTGTTACCACAGACAGGAGTTTGTTCTACACTGTGCCCATAGGTCTTGGGGGTGAGGTCATCTCTTCTCTGACCTGTCCCCTGCCCATTTGCCCTTGTCTCTTTAACTCACTGTTCTCCCCCTTCCTCACAACTTTAGTTTTTTTTCTACCATTAAGAAACTATGACATGAAAGAAAGGGAGAGAGAGAGAGAGAGAGAGAGAGAGAGAGAGAGAGAGAGAGAGAGAGAGAGAGAGAGAGAGAAAGAAAGAAAGAAAGAAAGAAAGAAAGAAAGAAAGAAAGAAAGAGAAACCATGACATAACTGAGGCTATTGGCCATACAGAGCCAGGCCAGGCATGAGGAGAAGGTGGTGGTGGCAGGTGAGAGGTTACTTTGGCCATCAAAGGAGGGGTTCAAGGCAGCCTGTCGACTTCCCCTGCAGTCGGGAAGTAGCATCCTATGACCACCGGGAGGGGCTGCAGCATCTCTGAGTGGCTGCTGGGTACTCTCCAGCCTGGGATTAGGGCACGAGTTCCTGTCCTAGAAAAAGGACTCTATTCTCTGAGAGTTTGAATCTCATACAATTGAATCAACAAATCAGTTTAGGTCCATGGGGCTCACTTGGCAGTCAGTCCCCCTGCCCCACCCTGCCCTGCCCAAACAACCTTATTAGCAGTTATTGTGGCCCTGCCAGAAAGACTGTCAGAAAATGGCCTGGGGCCTGGGCTGGCAGGCACCATCCAGCTCAATACTTGTAGTGTAGCCTGGTCAGACCCTCTGGCCTCTGCCCTGCTTGGAAAGCCCAGTGGGAACCGAGGCTGAGGCAGAGGGGCTTCGAGGGGGGCTTTCCTGGTGGACCCACAAGTTCAGAGAGAGGCTAACAAGTCAGCTGGGAGGGAAAGGTCCTGGAGGTATTCTTGCCTTCATCCAACATTTGCTCGGATTAGCCTAGCCCATCCTGTGGGCCTGGTGAGGAGGGACCATGCCCAGGAGGGACGTGTCCTACAGCGACAGTGCAGTGTCAGACGCTGTACGGGCCAGGACTGTAGAGCACATGTCTTCTCCTTCATCAACAGTCTCCAGATGGCTGCAGCTTGGAGGCAGGACCTCTCCTGAGCAGCTTGGAGGCGGGGTCTCTCCTGAGCAGCTTGGAGGCTGGGTCTCTCCTGAGCAGCTTGGAGGCGGGGCCTCTCCTGAGCAGCTTGGTGTGGTGGAAAGGGCACTGGTGCTGGGAGCTGGGAGCTCCCAAGGGCATTGCAGCCTGGTGTCCCCACCCCCAGAGAGCAACTCCCCCCTAGGCCTGGGGACACCTCAGTGCTATTGTCACAGCCCTCAGGAACCTCTAGTGTGGGTGACAGTCAAAGAGGCCTTTCAGGAGATAGTGAGGTCACTGGCATCCAGGAAAATTTCCATGTTGCCCCAGAAAGGTATGCCTCTGCCCCTGCTCAGTTCTTCATAGCGTTGACCTTGCTCAAAATGGAAACACCAGAGAGAACCTCAGTTAGATTCTTACCTAGTCTGACCCTCTCTGCCCACTTCCTTATACGCCGTCCCTAAGAGGGAGCAGTTCTTTGTTGTGGTGACATATCTGTGTGTGGCTCTCTGCTCAGCTGACTGTGTGTCTCTAGTGGACTGACTGTGTGTCTCTAGTGGACTGGCCGTGTGTCTCTAGTGGACTGACTGTGTGGTTCTAGTGGACTGACTGTGTGTCTCTAGTGGACTGACTGTGGCTCTAGTGGACTGACTGTGTGGTTCTAGTGGACTGACTGTGTGGTTCTAGTGGACTGACTGTGTGGTTCTAGTATATAGCTACCGAGTCAGAACTAGCCAGGAAGCATGAGTTGCATTGCAGTGACTAATCAGCCAAGGGAGTCTGTGGAACGGCGCAGCACACACCCAACAAATCGCTGGGTTTCTTCTCTGTGCATTGATCCTGCCATCACTGCCTGGCAGCTCTCTCATTTCTAGCAGTCGGCCTTAGACAGGACAGTCTCTCTTTGAACACGCCTCCCTCCTGACCATGCAGGGCCAGGAATTGTGCTTGCCAACGTGGTTGAGGGTTAGACCGCATCACTCAGGGACAGGTGCAGACGGTGCCTGCAATCCAGCAGCCTCTGGAAGGGCATTCAGCTCTGGCCACACGTGTGAGGAAGGATACCGTGCATCATTCCCTCACTCACGGGGAGTGTTCCCCAGGCAAGGTCACATACATCACTTGATTTCCATCCATTTCTGACTGAAGACTGATCTCAGATCCTCTCTCCTGGAAACAGCACAGCTGCCCTGCTTTCGGCTCTTCAGCCTGAGTAGCTGGACTCATTACTGGACTCCAAGACTAGACCTTAGGTGCCCTGGCTTTGGACTTCCTCTCCCCAGCTGCCTTCCTGGCTCCTTTAACCTCTGTTCTGTGCCCTTCCCTTCATCTTCAAGGGCATGGATACCTGCCTTGCTAATCCCTCCTGGTCAGTCCTGAAGCCATCCCCCATGCTCTTCCCTCCCTTTCTCACCTGCTGCTGCCTCCTCTTCTGTGTGGTGGGAAGGCCAGCCCAGCTAAGACCAGAGCACTAGCTTCCTGCCTAGTGGTTCCCTGACAAACATGGAGTTTGCCCTGTCTGGAAAACTCTGTCTTAAAGAGCCCAAGTGCCTCCTCTCCGTTAACCAGGCGCATACCAGTGAATCTCAGCATACCCAGAGAATCATACAGTGGTGTTGAGCAGAGTATCATTTTGCTTCAGCTAGCCTAATAGCCTGGGCATGACCATCCCTGTTGGCTCTAGAGGCGCCCATGGTCTGCTGTTTCCTGCAAGCCCCTTCCAGGAAACAGGCAGGGAAGATGGGATCTGCAGGGGCCCAACATCCTCTGCTCTTTGAACATTTTTAGGGGAAGAAATAGAAGGTCTGTTTTCTGGGGCTCCCTTCTCTTCCAGAAGGCTGAGTTTCTAATTCCTGGGGGCCTATAGTTCTGAATATAGAATGGATTCTCAGTCAGTGGGGTCTTGGGGATTCCCTTGCCAATCAAAAAAGATTCGAGTCTTTGGTGGCATTTACCTCTCATGAGTAGATTATGTGTTAGCTCTCTGTATCTGAAACTTAGCTCAACTCCTCCTGTGAGTGAGTCCCCGAGTAGATCATGCATTAGCCCTGTGTATCTGAGACCTGGCTGCTTCTCAGATCCCACTCCAGAATGTCTCCTCTCCTTTGCCCATCATCCTGTCCAAAGCCATGTAGACTTCAGGATCTTCTCTGTCTGGGGTCCCTGTGATAGGCGGTTTTTTCTCTCCTGGGCATCCCTTCATCTGTTTCATGCTGCTGGCATTTCACCTCATTCTGTGATCTCCTGGGAGGCCTACTGCTTCCCCATCTGCCTTTGTCTTCTCTCTAGAGCTGAAGGCTGGCATTTGCCTGGGACGCCACCTCCTCATCAGGCCAAGGCTATGTGCAAGGCAAGCTACACAACATAGTAGGAGGAGTGCCGTGGGCCAGTCTTCGGGGACTCCAGAGGTGACCTCCTCTCTGGACTCTTTCCCTGGCCTTGCCTCTTTGGTCCCCTGAATATTTCTGTAATGTTACTAGGTATGTAGTATCAGGGTTAAAGCTGCAGGCCTTGAGGTCAGAACACTCATTAACTTTTATGATGACTGCTGTGGTCCCAGCTAACACCTTCTACCATCAGATGTAGTGGCATCCAGTGGTGAAGAATGATGGACTTCATATATACCTTAAGCCAATGCCTGCCTAGTTCTGGAGCCACCATAGTCTCCCATGGTCAGGGAGCAGGTCCTGGTACCCTGTAGCTCTCATAACTAAGCTATGCTTGAAACTCAGCTTTCCCCCTTTTCCAGACTATAAGTCCTTTCTCCATTAAGGACCCTTTAATGCATGGTGATGCTGCTGGTCAGACATGTATGAAGGACTCCCTGTGTACCAAGAACCATGCTAAACATCCCTCCTGTAGATCACAGCCTGTCATCTTTGCATCCCATAAAGCGCATAAAGCAGTCTAGCATCCCCATTGTATAGAGGAGGGTCAGACGCAGAAGGCCAGCTCACTCATCCATCCACATTGCTGGACTCATACTCAGGTCTCTGACCAAATCCTTGCTCGGTCTGTCATCTTCTGTTTCCTGTGGGCGTGGTTCCTACTGCAGGTAGGGTCTCTTGGCGCCCTATTCCTTACCCCGTGGCAACCCACCCATCACTTGAAGAACCTCTTGCTTTAAAAGTTCATTCTCAGTAGCAATCCTGAGTCCCATAGGCAAATGGGATGGTGGCTGAACTGAAGAGGCAAGGAATCTCACTGGTCTTCATAGTAAGTAGGAGGGCAGTTGATTTGAGCTAATTAAAAATATTTTATGATGTGTTTATTCTTATTTTATATGCATGGTGTTTTGCCTGCATATATGCCTGTGGGAGGGTGTCAGAATCCCTGGAACTGGAGTTACAGACAGTTGTAAACTCCATGTGAATGCTGAGAGTTGAACCCTGGACCTCTGGAAGAGCAGCCAATGCTCTTAACCACTGAGCCATCTCTCCAGACCCCAAACTTCTTTCTAAGGAGATGGCTCAATTATAAGATCCTGGTTGCACACCAGTCTCTGCCTCAGAAGCTATTCAGGAAGGAGTTGGCACCAAGTGGATCCTACACCTACATGTGACGACACCAGTTCCTTAGGTGCAGGTGGAGAATCACATGGAGGGGTACCTTCTGGTCACTGAAAGGAACATCCCACAGGGACATCCTAGTCTTTGAGATGCCTGCTGTTGGAGCTCAGGGGCACCCTCTACTGGTTGTCCACACGTCCTCTCTGGGGACTTTGCTCCTTAGTGTGGCCCTGGTTATCAGTGTACACCAAGCATTTCCAGGGTTTGATCTTTGTCCCCTGAGCCTATGACAGTTACTTTCTTTTCTGTTGCTGATGTGGGGTCCCCTTAGGTCCCTTTGGCCCCAGTGTCACACTAGAAACAAGTAATAGGACCATAGTAAATCACCATGTATATCATTGCTATAATCAGTCCCTGTGATAGTGTGTCCATATGAACACGCAAACAGCCCTACCAGCCGAGGATATGACTGTCTTTATGCCACATAGAAGGAAACGGAGGCAGTGGGACCACGGAGCATGCTGACACAGTAAGGGGCAGAGCTGAGGTCCAAGCCCAGCCTGCAGGAAGCAAGCCCCTGAATACAGTCTTACTGTCAATACTGAATGTTCGTGAGCGGTAGCCATGGCTTAAAGCTATGGGACCTAGTCATTTTTCAAACTGTGGCTATGTTTTTGACCCATCACTGAAGTCTGGGGTCTTTTCCTGACTTCGGCCAGTGACTTTAGTCATTCAAATGCCACAGTAGCTTGGAGTGAAATCTGTCACCTTCTCCTACCAGCATCCTTACCATTGAGCCCAAGGTCTAGTATGCATTCTGGATCATACTCATGCTTTTTCTCCTGGGGTCGGATGGGGGAGGACAAAGAGCAACAGTTGTATCCTCAGACCTGGAAAAGAACGAGTGAAGGACTTGAGGAATGAGAGCCAATATGGGAAGAGGCAAGAGATGTGGATGGGGCAGTCAGGAGAGGCAGGATTGGCGCTAGGCACCCTCCCCCACCTTCAGGTTGTCCCCTCCCCCAGGGCTTCGTTAGACAGCCGAACAGGGTGGCCAGGGGCTCAGGACAAGAGCTGATCAGCCCAGGGTTGGGCATCGTGGCACAGGTGCTGACGTTGGGACAATTTCATTGCCACCTCTGCAGGAAGAGCTCAGGGCTGCTGCTTTATCTGCTTGGTGTAGGTAGGAAGGAGCAATAATGACAGGTCTACTGCAGGCAGAGCTCAGAGTGTCTGGAGCATTGTGACCTCACCCATTTGTCTGTCTTTCTGCAGGTGGACAGTCCCTTTAGCTCAGGCAGCCCTTCCAGAAGACTCTTCTCCAGAGGTCCCCAGCCTCGGCCCTCCAGCCCTGTGTCTGCTCCTGTGAGACCCAAGACAAGCCCTGGCTCTCCCAAAACTGTGTTCCCATTCTCCTACCAGGAGTCCCCTCCACGCTCGCCACGCCGTATGAGCTTCAGTGGGATCTTCCGCTCCTCATCCAAAGAGTCTTCACCCAACTCCAACCCCTCTACTCTCCCTGGGGCATCAGGTTCTTCTCACGCTCCAGAAAAAATAAGACATTGGTGCTGTGGTTTCAGGTGGGTGCTGGGCTGTGAGAGGCCCTCCCTGTAGCCACTTGGCCAAACAGCATGAGGCCACAGCGTAGCTGCTGGTGACTTGGTGCTGAGCCTTCCTTCATGTGCGGTGACACCTGTCTCCACCTGCTGTTTGTCCTCAGCGTCAGCACGGTCTTCCAGCCTGATGAGCTTGGTAGTGGGAACTCAGTGGCATGAACTAGAAACTTCCTGAGGTCTGATTTGGGAGGACAAATGTTCACTTCTAGTGCTCAGGGTAGGGCTGCACCCAAGGCCAGTGTGCTGCCTGATATGGCTCTAGTCCCTGGGTTTTGGGGCCTAGGATCTTTGACTCTTTATGAAAGACCCTGAGTTTTTCTCTCTGGGACTCTGGGCACCTGGATGCACAGGGTGGGAAGCACACTGGCCGGAGAAACGTGAAGGAAATGTGTGTGTTAGACGAGATCATCTTTTGATTATAAGTTGCTTGTGGTCTAAAGATGAGTATTGTCACTTGAGTGCTGGGAGCACTATAAGAAAGGCCAAGGCTAACTCTCAAGGCTGTGATAAGGTGTCCTGGATAATGCACCTTAAGGGACAAAGGGTCTGGCTGACAGTTCTTAGAGGTACAGTCCGTCATGGTGAAGGAGGCATGGTAGCAGGAGCAGGAGACTAGCTGTCACATTGCATCCATACTCAGGAAGCAAAGACTAAACAGCAAATAGGGCCAGGCTAAAAGGAAAAGAAAAAAAAAAGAAGAAAAGAAAAAACTCCTTCATGCCCCAGTGACTCACCTCTTAAAAACTACAGTTTTCCCAGACAGCTCCACACATGGGGATCGTGTGTTCAAATGGGAGCCTGAAGGGGCCATTCCACACTCAAACTGCCACAGAGAGCATGTGTGCTCCCTGCCTATAGCTTCTTCCAGCTTCTCTGCTAATTTAGAATGTTTGCATGGAGAACGGAAAAGGGGCTTGCCACAGAATGTTCAGAGGTCAAGGGTATTCCTTTCCCCCTGGGTAGCCTTTGCATCTCTTGTCTTGCAAGACCATCAGTGGAGACACTTCCGCCTTTCTGAGTTGTGAGTTATTATAAGAGTTCCCTCCTTATTGTTTCGTGTGTGCACCTGGTCCGTAGGATATTGTTCCTAGTAGCCCAAAAGCCATGTCCCCAGCATGGCAGCTCTTCTTATATAGTCTCTTATATAGAAATAGTGTAGCAGTTATAAATGCCTATATAACCCTTTCATATACTTTTAAAAAAACATTTAAAAATCTTTTTTCAGTGTTTTGCCTGCATTTTATGTCAGTATGCCATACATATGTGGTACCTGAAGAGGCCAGAAGTTCCTCTGGGGCTGGAGTCACAGACAGTCACTGTTGTGTGGCTGCTGGGGACTGGACTCCGATCTTTGGAAGGGCAACCAGTGCTCTTAACTCCTGAGACATCTCTCCAGCCCCCTTCCACATGCTTATACTCTTCTCTGGATTGTTTGTAAAACCTAGCATAATGTGCATGCCATATGAACAGTTAAAACATCTGTAAATACATTATGCTGTAGTCCAGGGAAAGAGCTATTGAGACAGCTGAGCCTGCCGTCAGCCTGACAACTTGAGTGCCGTCCCTAGAAGGCATGTAAAGGTGGGAAGAGGGAGATGATGCCACACACACACACACACACACATACACACGTGCACACTCGAGTGCACACACTCGAAGGCACACACACCCCACAACAATTTTAGAAAGAGCCTGTAAATACTCTATATAGATGCAATTAAAAAAGTTTTGGCCTGTGGTCTGTTGCATCTGCAGATGAGGAGGGTCATCTGCTCCATTGTATGCCCTCTCCGATTGGAGAGACCAGCAGGCCAGACCTCAGCTGAGTGGTCTCATGTCTGGGTCACTTACAACTAGGCTGTATTTGCCTCCAGGGCTGTGGTCATAGAGCTCCACAATCTGGGAGGCTTAACATAGCACTGAGACATGTTCTAAAATGCTGTCCTGGAGCCAAATTCCAAGACAGGTAGATGGGCCCAGCTCCTCTGAAGGTGCTGGAAAGGGTGTGTGTGTGTGTGTGTGTGTGTGTGTGTGTGGTCCCAGAGCTAGAGCCCAGTGCCTCATTTATGCTTGGCAAGTGTCCCCCACTGAGTTCCATTCCCTGCACTCTTCTACTTTTTTTGAGACAATGTCTCAAAGCTAGCCTTGAACCCACTGTGTAGCCCAGGCAGGCTTTTCTCCTGCCTCCTCCTCCTGAATAGCTAGAGTTACAGGTCTGTGCCACTACCTACCCTAAAAGATAAATACATGTTTTAAAATGAGCTTGGTGTGGTAGGTGTTGTCTGGAAGCAGGGGAGAGTGGTCAGAGCAGGGACAGTTAAGGCTAGGCTAGTGTTCAGGATCAAAGCCAGCATCAGGATGTTTGATGTGGCTAGGAGAATGCCAGGTGAATGAGCCACATGAGAGGCTTCCTTATGGTGTGTGGCGGCCAGGGCAGGCCTGGGAGACCCAGCTAGAGTTAGCATGAGTCATGCATGTGATGTGTACTCAATATAGAACTGTGGGAGCCTGGCACACACGGGTGTGCACTCAGTATAGAAGTGTACACACTTGGTGCAGGAGCAGTTCCAGTGACCATAGGAGTGCATGTTGTGACCCTAGTCTGACTTGCCCAGTGTTCCATGAAGAACCAGATCTTTCCCCACATCAAACACTGACATGACTGTCTGTGTTCCCTAGGAGACCTCCTCAGAGTCCCAGCACCCTCTCCTGGAATGGCAGACAGAATGGGGCACCATCAAACTTCAAGTTGCAGGCTGAGGGGCACAAAACCCACCCTCAAGCAGCCACTCCCGAAATATCTAGCTTCTAAGGCATGGGGCAAGATGCTGGCTTGGAAGCACAGTGGCTGGTGCCTCAGGTCCTCATTCATGTCTGAGAAGCCTTGCTATGAGTGAGGGTCACAGTCCGTGTCCTGTGTCCACACTGCAGACGTGCTCCTTGACTGCTTCACCTTCCAGAAACCAAATGTGGCTGCCCCATCAGCTGAACCTGAGCTGAGCCCTGAGCCCTGAGCCCCAAGGCAGTGTGTGAGCTTGGTAAGCCGGGCCATCAATCTGTCCCAAGTCAGCAAGCAGGCAGCTGTCAACAGCATGGGGCTGGGGCTGCATGAACTCTATAGGATGTGTCAAAAGCTGGGGACCAGAGCTCCCCAGCACTGGAGGAACTTATTGGATGGGATCACAGACACATTTTCTAGCTCCATTACCAGGGGTTCATGCTGCCTCTTCCGTTTTAGTCTTCTAAAAGACCCTTCTATGTTCAGGTCAGAGGAGTTGTTAGAGCCTCTCTTCCCTACCCTCCAAGGCAGCTGTGGACTGAGCCTAGGAAGCATTATGGAATGACTCTGGGCTTCAAAAAAGATGGAAATTGATCAGGTTGAATGACTCGGCTTCTTGGGGGAAAGCCCACGGGATGAGAGCTACTTCACAAACCAAGTCTTTCTCCAGGGCAGCTGCTCATGCTGTTACCCCTTGAACCACCGTGCCCAGCTCCTGGGCTTTCCTCACAGCCACCAGGTACCAATGTGCAGGTCTGCAGCCAGCCGGAGCCCCCAGCAGCAGATCGCCTGGCCCCTCCATCTGGAGTTTCAGTTGGGTCTGGCTTGAAGAGTAGACAATTTATATACTTTCCCTGAGGCTTGAGCATCTATTCCTAGATGAAAGTGCCCTGATAACGCATTCCACAGCCCAGAGGGGCTTCCTGGTAATAGTCCCATGACACACACTGTGCCCATTGCAGGGATGTCAGGAGGGCATTGCTCATTACCCAGAGTCCTGAGAGGACTTTCTGTCTGATCTCTTTACCAAGAATAGCTGTCCATCTGATCAGCTGCCCCACTTTTGTCCAGAGTGGACAGTAATCATCTAACGGCCCAGTCTTCCTGTCTGCACAGCCTGCTAGGTGTCTTTGACCCACATTCATAACAAAGCACCTTGAGGTGTGTCACGCCTTATTGCTAACGCCGGTTTTTTTGTTTTTGTTTTTGTTTTTGGTCCCCATTTTTGCACTGTATCCTACTGTTTTTGTTTTGTTTGTGAAATGAGGTCTTCCTATGTTGCCCAGGTTGACCTCCAAATTGCTATGTAGCCCAGGGTAGTCTCAAAGTTATACTCCTTAAGCCTCTGCCTTCCATGTAATGGGATTAAAGGCAAAGTGCCATCACACATAGCTTCCTTCTGGCTTTTTAAACTGGGAAGACAAATTATTGGGAGGATTTGGGATGTCTGGGTTTGAAAAGAATCCTGCTCAAGATTCAGGAAGAGAAGAGATCCTGCTGGCTCCAAGAAGACTCGATAACGAGAATGTATGGGTTTGTTTGTTTGTTTGTTTGACTTGTGTCCTTGATTCCTTTTATCGTATGTGAGTAGCAAGGTGGGGATGTCTGAGTCACTCAGAGACGGGTGGCCGAGCTAGGTAATGGACTGATGGGGCAGACACAGACTCCTGAAGCAGCAGAAGAGGGTCCTCACTAGCGAGAGGCTGACATCAGGTGCTGGAGAAGCGTGAGTATCCATGTCTGCCATGGGGAGGACCCGACCCAGGCCCTTGGTCAGCTTACAGTAGACACCGAAACTCAAAACTCCGTAAAGGTTTGGATCTAACATTTGCTGGTGGTGCAGCTGGGGGAGGTTGTGGAGCCTTCGGGTTTATCTGGGAGAAGTAGGTCTCTAGGGACAGACCTTTTAAGGTGACAGTCCCAGCCTGGGTCTAGATGCTCTCTGAGCTGTGAGAAGCCTCCTACCTGCTCCCACTCCATGAACTACACCATGGGCCTTCGCCACCAGGACGGATTGAAAACTAAGAACCGGAAGAAAATGTCCCACCTGTTTGCTGTTTCTGCACAGCATTGTGTTACAGCACCACAGATGTAACTAACACACTCTGCCTCCCTTGTTGTGTGGTCCATTGTCCTCTACAAGTGTGGCACCATTCACCTGAGATGAAGGGCCTATCCTCCTCTAAGATAATCCTACCTTAGGTAATTACATCTGCAGTGGCTTTATTCCCACGCAAGGCCACATCTGAGGGTCTGAGAAAGACATACATTCAGGAATCAAATTAATCCTCCCAAGCGCCAGCCACAGCTGCAGCTGACCGTCTTTGACATTTGTTGTCTCCTTGCAGGGCTAAGGTGTAGTCTCACTACTACCCAGACTAGTTTCTGCTTGGTTTTCTCCTGTGCTGCTGCTTGTTTTAGAGCTTGCTTTGGCTCTTGAGCACAGTCTCACTCTGTAGCAAAGCCACTCATGATCCTCCTGCCTCAGCTTCCTGAGTGCTGAGGTCAAAAGATGACAAACAAAACCCAGCAGAAAGCTGATTTCCCAGCCACAGCATAGCCTACGGGTGAGACCACTGAGGGGGAGCAGTCCCTCTGCGGAGTTGGGAGGACAGACAAGGGCTCAGAAGGGATTAGAACTCCCAGGTTTGGGTAGGTGGGTTTTTCAGGGTGGGACTGGATTAGGATTAGATGAAAACCACAAGCCAGCAGCCCGGGATTGGTGGGAAGAACACAGCAGGAAGTTGGAGGTTCTTGGGGCACAGGCTAACAGTGTGAGGAGGCCTGTCTCAAGTGTCAAACCCAGTCACAGGACAGCCTAGAGAGGCAGCCATTGCTGATGAAGACACCAACAAAGGATGCTTGCTGCTCTTCCATAGGACCCAAGTCCAACTTTTCGGCACACATGGGAACAGTTTACAACCATCTATATAGCTCCAGTTGCAGGGTTTCAACCTCCTTTTTATCCTCTGGGGACACCTGCATACACATGGCAAGAACATACACACATACACACCCACATACACATACGCACATATACATGCATGCCCCCACACACATGCACACCCACATATGCACACACATATACACACATGCACATACACATGTACACACATGCACACTCACATATACACACACTTAAATAAAAGACAACAACAGCCAAACCCACATAGACAGAGCATTATAATTTAGATTTTTAGTGTCCTGACTGAAAGAGGAGGTAGTTGTAATCTCAAGGAAGGGTCTTCCCACTCGTCTTCAGCCAAGGCTGAAGAGGCTCAGCTAGCAGAGCAGAACCTTCCCTCATGCCCAGAGCATGCACCTTATCTGGGAGTCTTCTCCAGGAACTCTGCCTTCTCCTGGAAGTAATCCAGCACCAGAGTCTGGGAAGGCTCCAGGGTCCATGCTGTGTGGCAGCCAGGGCCAGCACAGGTGTAGGGATCAGCCCTGTGCACCGTGGGGTCCATGCTGTGTGGCAGCAGGGCCAGCACAGGTGTAGGGATCAGCCCTGTGCACCGTGGGGTCCATGCTGTGTGGCAGCAGGGCCAGCACAGGTGTAGGGATCAACCCTGTGCACCATCCGGCCTTCCTCTTCTGGTCACGAGCTTCCTTTCCCATGTGCTCCACCAAACATGGGACTCTCGTGCCAGTTCTGACAAGTGCAGACGCTCAGCCAGGTCTTGGAAAGCAAAGAAAGGTGCCTTCTAGGCAGAAGCCGATGAGCTCAGCTGTCTGAGAATTTGAATCCTCTCTGACATTTTGTTACCCCAGGAGGAAGCAGGTTGCCCCGAGGCTGCATTTCAGTGTGGCCCAAGCTCCACACACTACCTGCACAGCTTTTCTGAGATCCCAACGTTCTTGCCTTCCTTAACTGGACTTCTAATTCCTGCATGCGTGTGTGCGTGTTTGTGCATGTGTGTGGAGGCCAGAGGCCAAAATCAAGTATCAACTTCACTCCCTAACTTCTTTTTTTGTTTTTGAGACAGGGCTTCTCACTGAACTTGGAGCTAACAAATGGTTAGGCTGTCTGGCCAGCAACAGGCCTCCTGGAACAGTGCTAGCATTTGTGTTTTAGTTTCGGTCTCCTCTGTCCCAGGCAGGCAGCTCTGTAGGAAAAGATGACCTGGAGCAGGATCTTCATCTTCTTCTCCAACTCCCCAATCCAGAATTTCCGTGTCTGAACCCCTCTGCCCTGTTAAGTAGGAGCAGCTCAGAGCCAGTGTAGTGAGTTCCGGGCTGAGTGTAGCCCATCACAAAGAACATGCACATTTTGAATATTTGAAGTCTGAGATGTGGACACTGGCGCTGGGAGCTGCATGAATGAAAAGATAAGCAGGAATGGCAGCTTGCTGGCCTGGGATCAGTGAGACCCTCATGTGAAAAGTAAGGTGGATGTTCATGGGCCTGGAGCCCCCTTTAAACCCAGGACTGTGGGGGGAAGGGGGAAGGCAGACTTACCTCTGTGAATTCTGGTCTGCAGACTGGGCTACAGAGAGAGTTCAGGCATACCCAGGTATGCACAGAGACACCCTGTCTCAAAAAGCAAACAAGAGAATTAAGGTGTAAAAGCACTGGATGAATATTTCTGGTCTACACACGTGCTCAAAGGGTGAGAACAGACAGACAGACAACGACCACACACACATACACACCCATGCAAACATACACACACATACTCATTATGTACAATTCAGCAATCCTGCCTTACCTGTTTTTCCTCAATACTGTCTAGACCCTATATTCCTGGGATTTTATTGTCATTTCCAAAATTCCTGACTCTTAAACCCCACAGTGACATAACTATCAGTCCCTTCAAATGAGAAACCTTTTTTACCACTCTGTTCTTATGCTGACACAGGTTTTCTGTATGCAGTCCAAGCTGCCAAGGTCTAGTGGCCTCCTACCACCAGCCAACTGAGTGTTGGGGCTTTAGGTCAGAACCTAATCCCATTGGGTTTTGTGGTTTTGTTTTTAAATGATACATGTAGCTATGGATATCCTTAAATTTTGAATCTTTCAATCTCCATGTACCAAATGCAGGGATTCCAGTAATTCTCCACCATGTCTGGTTTATTTTGTCCTCCGGACAAAACTCAGGGTTTCCTGTATGTCAGCTGTCCCAACTGAGTCACACCTGTATCTCAGCCTATCCAGGGATTCACAATGTAGCTGAGGAAGATCTGGAGTCTGGATCGTCCCTATGGAATTACAGAACTGCACCATTGACCCTGCATTTTCTCTTTTACCATTTCTAGATGACCTGTCTTTCTACTGAGAGTCTTTTGAAGGACTGCAAACATGAGCTGTATCAGACACCACTTTTCTTCTGAAGCTGGTGAGTTGTGACCTGGGTGGGAGGGAGGTAAAGGAAGCTGTCCCCATCCCATGCCATGTCAAGGACACTCAGGTCAGTGTGCAGCAGCCCAGATCATCACCTGTGTAGCCAGGTATCCTTGAAGCCCCGTTCTGATCAGCAGCCCTCAGGTTGGGACAGAATGGAAGGCAGAAGACTTTCCAGCGCATGTCCACAGCAGCAGCTGATGACAGTAGGAAGATGGAGCCTCAACCCCACAGCTTGAAGGTTTAGTGCCCTCGCCCCTGGGGTCTCATTCCCTCCCATTTGCCCTTTCTAGGTACTTTTTGGATTTCTCTTAAGACTAGATAGCAGAGCAAGGGTGAAGGAGTATTCCAGTAATTCCAGGACTCTGGAGGCTTAGATTGTAGACTTGCCATAGACTCCAGGCCAGCCTGGGCTATATAAGGAGAAGTAGTCTAGCTTTGGTGGCAGTATGAGCTCTCTCTCTAAAAACAGAATGTGACCAGGAAGACTAGGGATCAGTGTGTCCAGCCTGCAGAGTGATTCTTGGTCCTGGGTTCTTTCCCAGCACAAATTAAAACCAGGTGGAGCTTGCCTGATATTGGGGGTAGAGACAAGAGGATCAGGCAGTCAAGGTCATCTTCCAAAGCAGAGAGTTTGAGGCCAGTCTAGGGGGAATGACACTATGTTTAATAAGCAATACCTGCTCCCAAATCTAAATGCCCATATCTGAGAAAAGAATGCCATGGAAGCCCATCACAACTTCATATTCCTCATGAATCAGAATGCCTTTCCCATGGAGAGATGAAACCAGAGCATCCAGATGTACAGTGAATATTTCGTGTGATTCACATCTGGAATTGGCCTGAGCAGTGAGTCATCACCTGTGCACTGCACTGAGGAGCTGTTCAGGAAGTACTTCCTACTGGTCATGTGGGAGGAGGGAGGAGGGAGGCATGGATGGCATGGAGACTCCCTCCTGTGCCAATGAGAAAGGCAGAACGCAGCTAGCTCTTAAAGCTGTGAGACACTCTGATGTTTTGCTGCCCCCTTGTGGCCTCTCTAAACCTGTTCCCTGTTAGGGCACCTGATCTGCTGCAGTCCCTGCTTCAACTAGGGACAAGATTGTGGTGGTTAGGTGGGTTTCAGAACAGGTTGGAGGGAGGTTTGCCCTGCTAAACCCATCTAACATGCTTTTGCCCTTCCTTCTTTCATTCCTTCTTCCCATTTATGATTACAGACAAAATAGCTTTCAGAGCTGGGCTGTCCAGATGTCCCTGAACAAATTTCATAGACCCACTGCTGCTCCTGGACCTGCACTCCACAATGGAGATGACTGGGTTGTGAGTAAAGTCTGTGAAATCCACACCTGGGTGATATTTGGAATCACAGGAGGGCTGGAACCGTGCCTGTCTGTCCATACAGTGCCTGCTTTCATTGTGAGATATGAGTTCTTTCCCCAGAAAGTCGAGGGAAAAACCAGCAGGCTGGCTGAGGCTTGTTACCCCAGCACTTGAGATGGAGACAGGTGCATGTCCTTTTTGTTTTGTTGTTGTTTTGTTTTATTATGTTTTTGAGACAGGGCTTTTCTGTCTCATCTCTGTCTCTCTAGAGCAGACTGGCCTTTGTCTCACAGACATTTGCCTGCTTCTGCCTCCCAAGTGCTGGGATCAAAGTCGTGCACCACCACAAACACCACCACTCTTGGCTGCAGGTGCATCAAACTTGCTGGACTTGAGAAAGCCTGTGTCCAAAACACAAGGTGTACAGCATCTCGGAGTTGACATTTGAGGGAATACATGTGCTACATACAGAAAAGTTGGAAAACACACGTGGATATATACAAGCACACAGATGCACAAGCACACAGTTGTAAACATATTACAGGTGAGTGTATCTACACACACACACACACACACACACCAGTAAAGTAAGCATAGTGATAAAGAAGCACAAAGTTATCCGAAGGACCAGGTAGCATTTGGAAGTCCTGACCTTCATGCAGGAGCATCCTGATGGCAAGACCAGAAGAGTGAGACAGGGTGCTGCTGCTGAGAACACTGGGGTGGTCCTCTCTGGATGCTAGGTGATGATAGAGCCCTGCAAGCCAAGCTTTTGGGATGCTTATTACTGACCAGCAGATGTAGGAGGTGGGCTGCCAAGGTGTTCCCAGCGTTGTTAGCACTTGTGTCACCTAATGTCTCTGCTCTCTGCAGCTTGGGGCTAAGCAAGTATCTGAAGCCCAGGGAGATGCCCCTGCACTAGAAGAAACCCTCGATTGACTCTACTAGCACCCCCATATCATTAACTTATGTTTGTTAAGTTGGAAATAAATTGTGTTGTTTAATGAGGCTTTGTTGTTTTTAATCTGTATTTATTCTCTGTTTCCATACCAATCCCAGTTCACACTCCCTCCCCTCCTGCTCCTTCCTACATTTACCCATCCCAACTTGCATCTTCTCCTCAAAGAGGGTAAGGCCTCCCATGGGGAGTCAATGAGGTCTGTCACATCACCAAGTTGAGGCTGGACCAAGGCCCACACTGCTGTGTCTAGGCTTGGCAAGGTATGTCTCCATTGGGACTGTGCTCCAAAAATCCAGTTCATGCACAGGGATAGATCATACTCCTACTGCCATTGGCCCACAATTACTGCCCATGCCACAACACTGTCAACTGCATTCAGAGGCTCTAGATCAGTGCTAAGCAGGTTTCCCAGCTGTCTGTGTGGAGACAGTGAGCTCCTGTTAGCTCAGGTCTGCTGTTTCTGTGATTTTCTCCCCTTCCTCATTCCTCATCTTGACCCCTTTGCTCATATTACCATTTCCCCCCTGACTCCAGGATCCTGATCTCCTCCAAAGGGGAACAGAAATCTGGATCTCACCCTTGAGTTGCTTACACATTCCACCATATATTGCTACTTTCTAACTACAGAAATCACAAGGCAACAAGAAAGGCCCCAGCATGGTGGCATCTTCATAGGCTCCTCAGACAAGACAAGGCATCAGAAGACCACATGCACTGTAAGACTGATGAGAACAGGGTCCCTTGTCTTATTCGTCCAGGCACCCATTTCCCACCCCATTCAGGGTTCCAGCTTAGCTCAGCCTGGGATGCTCACCACTCAACAAGGTCTGTTTGTCTTGAACATTCATTGTGGCCTGCCTCCAGGAAATTTTGCTAGGTGTTGGGGATACATGGATGAATAGTATCCCTTGAGGGAGAAAAACACACAACTAAACATATAAAGGTAATGTATTCTTTTGTAATTTATTTGCTTACACGTGTATGGATGTTTTGTCCCACCCGCTCGCTAGTCAAGCAACCCCTAATGCTGAGTACCTCTGTCCCTGAAAGCTCTAACTTCCGAGTCTGTATTTTCCTTGCAAGATGAGGAGTCACGTGAGTGAGGAGCAATATATTCTTTAGATTCTTTTCTGAGAATATCGACAAGTTCCCCATCTTTCAAGCCCCCAGAAAGATAACAGCCATGCCGAGGGCAGCAATGGCAGAATCACCCACCTACCTGGAGCATAGCTCAGCACCCTCACACTGGGTCCTCAGCAGCTAGGACCCAGTACTGTAAGGAAAAAGGATCAGCCAAAGAAACACACTTTACTTTGGCCCTGCAACCAGGACCAAAGAAATGCACCCTAACCCTAAAATCAGTACCAAAGAAACACACTTTTTCCCTGGAATCAGAGCCAGTGAAAGAAATACACCCTGGCCCTAAAACTAGAGCAAAAAGACTAAAAAGGATCAGAGAAAGAAATATACTTTGACCCTAAAACCAGAGCCAAATCTGACCCTAACCTTATGCAGAAAACTAACCAACCCTCAAGCAGGGGCTCTAGCCAATGTGAGCTCAGCTTTGAAATCTGCCCAATCTCCACCCTGGATTCTCTATGTAAACCTTGAGCCTGTTCAGCTGTGGCTGTTTGTGCTACCCAGCTGTCCTCTGCCACTCTGGCAGAGGGCAGTCACTCTCCTGGATTCTTCCCCCCAGTAAATCTCTTGAATGGGGTTTGGGTGAGACCTTCCTTCACATGAGCAGAGATGACCCAGAGCAGAGCAGAGCAGGGCTGTAACACTTTTCGCTGGGGTAAACTTTCTCCTGGGGAACTGAAGTTGTTACACTCTCTGGGGAATGGACTGGTGAAAGCCTCTCTCCCGGGGCAGAGCTGATAAACTAGGGAATCCTTTCCCTGAAGCAAGACTGTAAGCTGCTATGCTTACTGTGACCTGTGGTATTCCTTGGCTCCCGAGTACCAGAATACTTTTCCATTCAAGCTGTAACACTCAGTATTCTTTTGCTCCCGAGTGCCATAATCCATCCCTGTCCATCACATCCGATCTGTCAAAATGCTTACATCACCCATCACTCATAATCAAATATCAGGAACTCTAATTCCAGGGACTATCTTTGGGAGCTGTACTCCTGTGCACACACCTACAACTATAAACACATGTGCAATTTTAAAAACACTATCTCATAATTTCCCTATTGTGTTTTATGGACCCAAAGAGGCAGAGAGGGTTGCATGTATGCTGTACATGATGTCATTTCATTCTACCTTTCATTTGTAAGAATAAAGGATTGTAATCTAATAAATTACAAGTATTATAAGGTAGTTCTGGAACCCAGAATCAGAAACAGATAAGATCATAAAATATAAAATAATTGGACCATGTAAGAAATCTGAGTTGTACAGAGTTGATGCAAATAAATCTGCATATAATTTAAACATTATAAGGGATTTCTTAGCATTTTATTAGTTTTAGTCACTGAAAGATACAGTGTGCCTAAATTCCAACACCATATTGTCATTCTCTTTGTGTAGATAATAGAGGTTTACAAAAGTTTTGAAGTCCACCATAACAAAAGACAGACATTTTAGCATGAATAATCTGTTAAATATAAACTTTATTTGGTTTGATGGATCCAACACACAACTGACGAGCCCCAGCTTTATGACATGTTTACCATGGAAGGAGCTCTTAGTTTAATAGCTTATGAGCCTTCAGTGTCTGAAAAGCAGCTATTAATTTTTTAAAGATGTCTACGTAACAGGCTAGGTGAGGGATTAAATAGAATAATAAACAGAACCCCAAACCAGACACAGAAAAAAAGCATTTTGAACAGAACCAGTGAAGTTAAAATGAGAAAGTCAGAAGATTCAAACTAACCATGTAATTGCATTAAATGCAAAGGTCAAGATGGGAGAAATAGCCAGATCAGATAAACAACCACACACGATTTCACTCTAAGAAAAATATAAGAAAATGTATGGGCAGAATGTCAGAGTAATGAGTCAGGAAATGGTAGAGTTCTCTAAAACACTTTAGTGCCCATATTACTAACAAAGAAAACTGCTGAACAATGAACCTTACTAGGGAAAGCATCTATTATAAATAACACAAATATTATAATATATATGTGGGTGATGAAAAGGGATAAATTTTCCAGGCAGACAGAACACGCTACTTAAAAAGTGTTTTTATGAATCCTAAACTTGAATGAGAAGGTGGATAGAAACTGACAAATCCAGCATTAAAGCTGAAGATGGGAGTCGACAGAACAAAAGGAGGGAAAGTCTAAAGATCTTTGCAAATGTTTATTGTGTGATGAGATGTGGCTTGGTACACCATCAATACTGGACCTGCATGATACACAGAGCTCCCAGTGCCACTGAGATGAATGAAGAGAGGATGGAAAGGTGGGAAAGACGGCAGGAACACAGAGTTTGTCTTTTCTATTATTGTTTATTTTTAGCTTGTTTTCATTCTTGTTTTCTTTCCTTTATGGGGGGGGGAATCTACAAGAGTGAGGAGCGGACAGAGAGGGACTGGGAGATTAGTGGTATTGGTGTGCATGGTATAAACTTCACATAGAACCAATAAAAAAGAAAATGCATAGGTAAAAATCAAATTTCACTTCCTAACATTTGTTAATATCAACCACACAATAAGAAGTTGTCAAATAAATGTGGTTTTAGTCTTTAAAAAAATCAACATATTGAATAATTCAGTGTAATTTTGACATAGGGACAGAGGTTCCTATATAACAAGTCTTCAAGATGTTTTATTTGAAACAGAAAATTCCATTTATCTCTTGATATAACCGCAGGATAAGTTTTGGTAATAAGGAAAATTTTAAATTATAACTAAATCAAGTTTTTTTTTTACTGTAGAAAAGAAAGAAAGGAAGAAAGAAAGAAAGGCAGAGAAAGGCTAAGGACAAGGAGAACATGAGAACTGCTGTCAATCAATTTGGCCTAACAGGCATTTACAGCGCACCTCATCAGATGAGAGCTTAAGCTGCATTTCTGGTACCTATGGGGCACTCTTCAACATGCTCCATGCTACAGGCTAATAGATAGGTTTAAATAAATATGAAAGTCCTGATAGGAATCAATATGTGCAATCTGACTTCAGGGAAATTAAAATGTAAGTTAATAACAGAACCGTATCTTGTAAGTCCCAATACTTGAAAATAAAAAAAAAGGCCGGGCGTTGGTGGCACACGCCTTTAATCCCAGCACTCGGGAGGCAGAGGCAGGCGGATCTCTGTGAGTTCGAGGCCAGCCTGGTCTACAAGAGCTAGTTCCAAGACAGCCTCCAAAGCCACAGAGAAACCCTGTCTCGAAAAAACCAAAAAAGAAAATAAAAAAAATCATTCTTTAAATAAAAAGAGAAAGTCATAGGGAAACTAAAATTATTTTGAATTAAAGTAAAAACAAAACAATTTCTGGAATAAAGCTAAACAATAACTAGAAAAAATTAAAACATTAATGATTTTATATAAAAGTTAATACATTTGGGTTTTGTTTTGTATGCTCTACAATAAGATCTCACTCTACAGCAAGACCCAGGGAGTCCAGAACTCCCTGCCTAAACCAGGCTTTTCTCAAACTCATGGAAGCCTGTTTCCCGAGAGTTTGGGTTATAGGCATGAAATACTTAACACCTGACTTATGTAGGTTTATAATCTGTGGCATAAACTTTTATATAAATACTGAAATAACGTGAATAAGATGCCCCTAATCCATTTTTAAAATTCAATAAATTGAAAATAAACATGACAAGACATAAGAGAAAAATATATATCTATATAACAGAGACAAATCTCTAGGCACACTAGCCAAGAAAAAGGAGAGAATACTGAAGCTGCTCACACAGGGAATGAGAAAAGAGTGTTACGATCCCACAGTACTAACAGGCAGTAAAGAAGCGTGGACAGTGTTAAACTCATGAATATAAATCTGGAGGAAAGCCTGTCACGATCCTGCCAGCCCGGATCTC